GCTTATAGCAGCCGTTACCCAGACAATCACCTTCTATCAACCTCATATTCACCTTAACGCAGCTGAGTGGAAAATACCGGAAAACCTCGAGCTGACCGGAACTCTTTCCTATAAAAGTCAGCGCATTGACTTGCTTATTGGAGCAAGTGTATTACCTCAATTCAGGAACCCTACACTCAGTCGAAATCAGAATCGATTTCTGACACACTAAAGAAAAGTTGCCCAGATTCTACAAACACCAATTTCGAAGGAAAATGCTCTTTGCGAGCAGCTATTCCAACAGCAATAAGCTCGGCTCGAATCTGTCTAATATTCTGTTCTGCTTCCTGCCAAAACTAGGTTCGATGTTTTAGGAAATTCATAAACTAGGTGGAAATTCAGATTTGAAGTTGCAGTACGCAGCCCTTATTAAGAAATACCTCAACCTTGGCCACATCTTTAGCATCTAAAAACGCGGTGTTGCAAGAGCATTAGGCCCAGTTTGGGATACCCTATAGGATAATTTGCTATTTAGTATCTCAAGCTGGTGAACAGACCATTCTTTCGACAATCGAAGATTCTACGATCTGCTTGGATTGGGCCAATCATCACCAAGAAAAAGATTTTTATGTAGGTCCTATGGAAGGATAAGCTTGACTGGGATGAGCCCTTACTTACTCGCTTTGTTTTACAGCATAAATTATTTGGTCAGCATCATTGTATGCTGAATTATCTTTTTTATCTGCAGACAAGCCGAGATAAGCGCTATCGAGTCGCTGATTGCTCGGCTCGTCCCATTGCATTTCGTTTTGTATCACTGTCAGTCAGTCGCAGCGCTGCTTAAATAAATCGTAGAAAACAAAATCTCTCAACCTTTTCCCTTTTCCCAGGACAAAAATAATTTGATTTGTTACATTTATACCAAATATTTTAAAAAGAGAAAAAAAATTGTCACATATCACGACTGATATACTCGTAATATTGATATACTTTTAAGTTTAACCAAATTGAAATATTTTCCAAAAAAAAAAACAGAAGAAACGCTATAGGTGAATGCCGCTACCATAAGATTCCCGTTACTGTCATTTTGCTAGCAGATATTGACGCATTGCCACCATTTGTCATAAAGAAGCATGATGGTGACTTCAATGCCTATGTAAAACCTTATAAAATACACTTTTTAATAAATAATAAATCATCCAATAGTAATAACTTCTTCGGCTAGAAATAAAGGATCTGAGCCCACAAGCAATCGGTAAATCAAATCTGCATTTGTATAAATCCGAGATTCTGATTCCATATTATTAGACTCTGCAGCTTCTTCAGATATTTCACCAATCGGCAAAAGTACAAAATTGTATCCAAAGAGCCAATATTTGATGTAGTGATTCCGAAAGTAGTAGCATAGATAAAAGTTAATAATTAATAATTAATTAATTATAATCTCCAAATTTGTTTTCAATTGATTTTATAACCTATTGCCAAACACTTCGGCGATGTTGAAAACCGGAGTGTAGTGTCTTCATAAATACCCGTCGGCTACCAATTTCGGGCAGTATGGCCATGGTTTGTGGTACCACTTCCACCACTCCTGGGTTTGTCCACTAGAAGTCCCATTAATTTGCATTTGGAGCATCATAAAAACCCAAATGCTTAATCCGAACTTTCTATCACGTATAGTTACCGAGATATCAGCTTTTCTAGATCGAAAACCTTCTTTTTAGCCTTGAGGGCTTATAGTAGTAACAGTATACGATGCGCTGGCATCTAAAGATTATATAAACTGAATTTCAACTTTTTTGTAATTGTTCCTGAGATTTCAGCGATTTTAGATTTGCGCGATTTTTGGGCGTTAGAGTGGGCGTGGCATGATGCTGTAATAAACTTGCGCTGCTTAGGGACCTCAAGAATCTTCATGGTTAATATGAACTTTGTATCTCTCATGGTTCCTGAGATCTCCGTTTTTCGGGTTTTGTGGGAGTTAGAGTGGGTGTGGCTTGATCGGAAAAAAATAATTTGCATAAGGGGCATCATACGCGCAATAAGTATTCCGCACAGAACCATTATTTTCGAAATAAAATTGCACTATTTTCAAGCGTTGTTCAGGCGTGAGTCTATTCATGATGAATTGCCAAGCCAAACTGAAAATTATTCATTTGACAGCTGTTAAATTGGTCGCCATCTTGAACTTAAAGTTCTATACCTCTAAAAAAACACCCTTTATATGTTAATTCTTAGTAACTTTGGGAAAGGGACGTCTTAGAGTTCACATTGCTCCGAATAAGTAAATAATGCTTGCTAATATTTTTTGTACCTTTTTTATCCATTTTTGCCAAAAATATTCTTTATACTTATTAAATGAGATTAAACAAGAGGAAACGCTATAGTCGAGTTCCGTGACTATAAGATACCCGCTACTATTTTACAGAATTTTAAAATATTTATTTTGCTATTGGAAGTTCCCAATGCACCACCTGCTTTCGGAGAAAGCATGTTGAGTAACTGATAGCCTAAATTTCTTCATTAATAGCGAAATAATGTGCCGATTTGCAAAATCTTTGGTAAATCGATAGATATTGACAAAAATATGTTATACAAATTCAAACAAAGACATACACTATTATATTATGGACGCCACAGTTTTCCGCGGTTTGTGGTCGTTAGAGTGGGCGTGGCAGGATGCAGGCAAGTTGCAGTGGCATCTTTTAAATAAGTATTCTTAAGCACATATTTTTAGCTCTTATAGTATCCGAGATTTTTGCATTTTTGTTTTTTCGGGTTTTGTGTCTTTTAAGCTTGGTGGGCGTAAGAGTGGGTGTGGGATATTGATACCAGCATAAGGTGCGCTGGCATCTCAATATTGTACATGATGAATTTCAAATTTCTAGCTCATATATTTCTTAAGACTTCAGCGATTTTAGTTTTTTATGATTTGTGGCCTTATACCTGTTACATACTTTTAAACGAATCTAGCATACCCATTTACTCTACGAGTAACGGGTATAAAAAGTATTTTTAAAACAAAAAAGAAATCTACAGGAAAGTGATGCAACCATGAGATACACGTTACTTTGTTAATAAATTTGTTATTGTATATTAATTATATTTTGCCTAGACATTGATTATTGCCGGAACCATATAAAGCATTTGTATATGTTAACTGTCGGTGACGTCCTACATTTTTAATGTACTGGACTTACATTATATTAATATTATGAACTCCACAGTTTTTGCCAGTGTGTTGTATATCCTGGCGTGGTCAGCCCGTCTGTCTGTCTATATGAGTGTGAAGATATCACAATTCTGAAGATTTCTGAGACGTTATGTTTTGGCATCAAAGACGTGTGCTATATTTAAATAATCTTCTTTATAAATGAGTGAAAGTGTAACACATTTCTTTTGAGAAATTTTCTTAGACCTGTTAAAAAGGGACCTGTTAAATAAGTATATTCATTAAATCCTTATTTGTCACTATGCAAAACATCTTCCGAGTTTGTTGAAGCCGGCACTTCTTAATTTCTTTATTGTGAGACTCCGCAGCTTCACCTGAGAGATTTCCCATTTGCAGCAACGCATGTTCTATCACCTGAGCTGTGGATATTTTTTATTCGCTGCTAATCAATATCCAAAGTATCCAAATTTGGTTATAAGTACAGGGATACTTATCGTGGTATAAGAAACGGTATTGGTAACTATCGCAACGACTGATAACAAAATAACTACTACGACCTAAGAACGGCTATAACCGAAATTATAATATTTCGACATAGATAATTACTGTGGTGGAGCTAATAACAATAAACATAAAATTACCAAAAATTCAAGAAGTCAAAACAATAATGTCCGATAAACGAAAAGAATGCTCTTTAAGAAATACGTAAATAATTCATTAATACAGACTCATTAATAACAAAGATTATAGCGATACCCATTAAATATCCAGCATTGGTGTAGGAACAACAAAGTCCGTCTGCACTTTCACTTGGTAAAAGTGAACGAATATTTGGTGTTGGGTCTATTTTTAAGTGACAAGTAAAAAACTCAAAACAAATCTACCTCCGGAAGCAGTCGGTTAGCTTTAATTATAATCACCGACTAAGTCTAGGCCAACTGTGTCATTCTCCCCAACATAGTCTTCGAATAATGCAGCGGATCGTCGAAACAGCCGTCCTATCATCCGCGCATCCGGGCAATACACCAATTGTAATCTAGATTTAGACTTTAATTTTTTGTATGGACTACTAGGTAAAGATTTCATATAAATACAAGTTTTAAATTGACTTAAAATCAGAAAACCAATTGCCCATACTGAGAAACAGGTAATCTGTATCTCATTTCACCATACAATTAAAGAACCGAAAAAATTTATTCTCACCAAAAATATATATGTACCTTATAGGGTCGGAAAAGCTTCCTTCTACCTGTTACATACTTTTCAACGAATCTTATATACCTTTTGACTCTACGAGTAACGGGTATAACTAGCCCAATATGTAAACCCGCGAAGTTTAAATTGAAAAAAACGCACTTCTTGCCCACAGTAGTATAGTGAGAGACATTAAAGAAGGCAGAAGCAAAATATTAAATGTATTCAAACTATATGCAGGCTTATTTTACTCGTTTATATACGTGCATTTCTTTAATTTACATATTATTAATTATTTATAATACTTAACCGAAAAGGTTAAATTATTATCAACTTCATAACATTAGAACATTAGAAGTAAAAATTGTTCTACCTGGATTTGTAGTCGTATGTATTTCATTTTATTGCAATGTTTTTGTTCTGCTGCGATGCTTACTCAAACTAGTATATGACAAACTGACAATGATATAAGCTTTGGATATAAAAGAGTAAAAATATGTTTAACTTACTGAAATATCTCTATTTACGATTTTTTTATTACAGATAGTTGTATTAGTAATATATTTGGCTTGTCAAATATATTTTCTTGGGAATCTGAAATCTTAAAATTTGCCATAATTCATTCTTTAGCTGATAAAAATATTATTTATTTCAGGATTTCCGGAGACCATCTTAGCATTAATCCTAAAAGATGTACTATCAGCGCTTATTTATATTCACTCTGAGCATTGTGTTCATGGATCTATAAGGGCTAAGAATATTCTTCTAAATTCCAGAAAAGCTGTAGTGTCTAACTTTGGTGATTGCCAAACATTTATTAACCAGGGAGAAAAAAAGAAATGTTTATATGGATTAACTGCAAAAAATGAAAATCAACTGTATTGGACAGCACCAGAAGTTTTACAGCAAAACCTTTCTGGTTATACAGAAAAAATAGACATATATTCCATCGGAATCACTTCTTGTGAAATGGCAAATGGCTTTCAACCCTACAAAGACAGAGAACTGACATTTATGTATATTGAAAAAGTTCGTGGCAATCGTCCCTTGTTCCAGGATAAAATGTATCTAATGGAAGACCAAGGTAATTTTACGATTTTACTTTATACATACCTACATACATTTGTATTTATAAATACGTTTTATGCACATCTGATAATGATATTACTTCACGTTCCGGTGGGTAGTTAAAAAATAACAAAATCGATTTTATTCTTGTAGAGTAAAGGGGTAAGTGGGAGCCTTTACCTCCGATGATCTCTGAGAGTGGGAGAGCGACTAATTATGACTCTCTATAAGGCTATACTTTGACTCTCTTCTATTCTTTTTTTCTAATCTAATCATTTGAGCCGCAGAGAACAGACCATCTCAAGAACTACAAAAGCTAGAAAGTTGAAATTCAGTAAGTATAATCTTGAGATACCAGTGCATCTCATGGTGGTACCATTTTCCGGTCACACCTACTTTTTCGCCCATCCTCGAAAGACCGTTTTCGCATGTTGTAGAAAAGATGATATCTCAGTAACTATAAGTGATAGAAAATAAAATAAGCTTGTAGGTTTTTATGTTGCCCCAAATGCGAATTGTTTTCTTTTCTTTCATCTAGCCACGTCGACCAAAAATGCAAAAAAAATTTACCTATAAGAGCTATAAAGTTGTATTTAATATTGTGTGTATGTCTTCGTTTGACCTTGTATAACATTTTTGTGAAAATCTATCGATTTACCAAAGATTTTTCAAATCGGAACATTATTTTGCTATTTATGAAGAAATATAGGTTATAGGGCCTCACATGGACAGTGACGTAACTATCAGTTACACAACATGCTTTCTCCGACAATATGTGGCGTTTTGGCAATTTTCACTATCCAAATTAATATTTTAAAATTGTGTAAAACAGTAACGGGTATCTTATAGTTGCGGCACTCGACTATAGCGTTTCTCCTTTTTTGTTCGCTTTGTAGGCGTATGGCTGGGCGTGGCAAGAATGTGAATGCTTAATCTGCATTATAGTTTCCAAGCCCTTAGCGATTTCAGTTTTTTGTGCCTTTAAACTCCCGCCGCTGCGTAGTCTTCTCAAGAACAAGAACGATCAGACGGACGAACCGATGGACGCTACCTGCCTTTGTTACAATTTTTTCATCGAATACATTAGAGGATTGCTCGCTAGCGAGCTGCGAGTCAGAAGTGCAAGGGTATTTATATCCTGCAAATTTATTATCCAAATCAAATAAAACCAAGCCAATAATTAGTGCACCCGGTAAATAATGGGACAAAGCCGCGAAAGTCAACAACAGCAACAAGTCGAGCGCCGACTCTCTGTTGCTCGGAACAACGCGTACTTTTCGTATGTCTCTCCGGAGCCAGAAAATAGTGCAATGTCTTTAATGTCTCTGTCGCCACTACTCACCCCAAACAGCGTTGCCGTTACTCAGTCTTGGAGCTCACAATGCCCTTCCCAATCTCTTCCACGGTACCATCGGTAACTACCGTTTCTGAAATTACGACAACAACTGCTTATACGTCGCCGTCGGCTCTCCAGCCGAATCTCTCATTGCAAGCTGGACCAACAACAACCACTGCTACAGCTACGAAAACAAATAAAACCAAATCAAAATTCACCAAGCGGGTCCGGCTATACAGACCGGACTAGATCGGTACTTTCATATCAAGGGTAAGCCCAGAATACCGCGGTCGGTAACAAGTCAAAAATAAACCGTGTCCAAATTGAAAATAAATTACCCGGCAGATCTAACAGCAATAGATTTGCCCTCCTAGCAAAAAATGAACCAGAACAGGCTCAGGAGACCCAACCGAAACCTAATCCTCCTCCAATTTACATTTGGGAGAAAATCTCGAACGCCCTGCTAAACAAAAGTTTTGCGTCGACCGGGGACGGAAACTTTCATATTGTTTCGGTCACACAAAGGGATATCCATGAAACCAAACTTCAGACCAAATCTGAAGAACAATTCCGAGCTGTATCCAAATACCTGGAGGAAGCTACCAACTAAAACGCAGCAAAGGCCAGCAAGTGGTACTAAAAGGAATCCAGCCCGACGTAACCGCTTTGAAGTTGTCGATGCTTTTAAGGAAAAGGGTTCTCTGCAAAAAACGTCAGTAACATTGTAAATAGGAAAAAAAAAGCTGCAACTACCCTTCAGGGTCGAGCTCGAGCCAGACACCAGAGTCCTGAAGAAAAATGGAGTGCACCTCATCTATAATCTGCAATACGTACTGCACCGAAGAATTAACGTGGAAGAGCCACATAAAAGAAGCGGCCCAGTAAAATGCACAAGCTGTCAGGAGTTTGGACACACCAGGGCATACTCTTCAATTCGAACAGTCTGTGTAGCTTGTTGAGACTTCCAAAATTTGGCTAACTGCCCTGCCAATAACGAAAACCTCAATAAGAAAAAATTCGTTAACTGCCAAGGTAAGCACTCGGCAAACTACAGGGGCTGTCCGATCAACAAGGAGATAAAGGACCGCATGCGTAATGTGACTGCAACGCGTCATCAACTTCCAAATAAGAGGCTACACTTTCTACCGCACAGATAATCCAGATGAATTTCCGCCCATGGGGGAACCTGCATCCCAATAAGGGAACGCATCAAGCACCACCTCCACCAAAGTTTTGCAACTAATTACTTGCAAGCCACGTCTATCAAAATGCAGTCAGGCAACGGAAACCTCACCATAGCAGCTGTCTACTGTACAGCTCGCTTTTCTATTTCTGAAGGACAATACATGGCGAAAGCTTTTAAGCTGCTGGCGACTATAATGCCAAACACACGCAGTAGGGATCAACGCTTGTGACTCCCAAAGGAAGGCAATTATACAATGCCATCATAAAACCGAACAACAAATTAGACTTCGTTTCCCCTGGCAGCCCACATACTGCAAAAAACATTCCCTGCAATATAATAAGCGCCAAAGCGCTTTCGGACCTGTCGTCAGTCCATTCGCCAGTGCAAATAGCTCTTCTTCAAAGCGCAATAAGTACAGATCACCATCACAGGCTGACGTCGCACAGGCTGACTCACACATTAAATTAAACCAATTCAACTTTGAAGCGGACATCGACTGCTCTACCGATGCTCTTCAAAGAGTATTCGTGGAGGCAGCTACTATCTCAACACCACAAGACAGGGACCACCACTTCAAAACTAATCTGTAAATTAAACGGCTAGTCCTAGAAAAGAGCCATCATTAAAATGACGTCTTAAGAAAGCCACTCGCACGCTAAATCGAACTCTAAAGCAAGCAAGAGAAGATGCACAGCTGCGGTATATTAAAAAAATTCGCCAACCAGTACAAAAACATCCTCTGTGGAGGGCTCACCCAAATCTGATTTCCACAATCGAAACAGTCACTCTTATAAGAAATTCATATGGCAGCTGGGTCCGCAGATACGAGGGTACAGCCGAAAATTTTGCCTTACATCTCAGAAACGTCTTCCAGACGAACCCTGCCACTGGTTCTTTTGTCCTACCACAAATCGTATCTGAATCTATTTCCCTACCACCATTGTTTCAGCGACAGGAGATCGCAAAAGTCATAGGGGAACTGAAACCGAAAAGACCCCTGGCAGTGATCAAATAACCCCAAAAAGGGTTATTGAACTCCCAAACTCGGCCATTGAGGTTATTTGTAAGGTCTTCAATGGTCATGACACTCGGAAGAAATCTATTATTATTATGATACGGAAGTCCGGAAAAGACCACACAATTTCGTCATCTTACAGACCAATTAGTTTATTATCGTGTCTCTCTAAGTTGTTCGAAAAATGCCTTCTATCTCTCATAAGACCATATCTAGGAGCAGACAGTGTTATCTCTGCTCATCAATTGGCTTTCGTCAAAACCATGGAACAATTGAACACGTTAAAAGAATAACATCAGAAATTTGCACAGCCTTTGAGCATCGGGAATGCTGCAGCGCAATATTCCTCGATGTATGCCAAGCCTTTGATCGAGTATGGCTAGATGGTCTCATGCACACACTTGCCTGGTTACACTCACAAGCTTCTTGAGTCGTATCAATATAACAGAACCTTCGCAGTAAGGAGCAATACAGCAACATCCGGCGACTACTCTATCAAAGCTGGAATCCCACAAGGAAGCGCGTTAGGGCCTACTCTGTTCCTCTTATACACAGCGGATATTCTCACGTACGAGCAGCTAACAACATCTACGTTCGCTGACGACACGGCAATTTTAAGTAAGATTCCCCAAGTCAATGATGTAACGTAGACACTTAGAATGCAAGAAAGTACATCTAAAACTAAAAGCCAACAGCCTCCAGTGGATTCTTAACGCTCGTTCGACCCTGCGTCTGGACTACAAGGTTTTGCTTTAGAACTCTCAAGCCAATCTGGACATATGACTCCAAAGCTATGGGGAAACGACAGCAGGACCAACATAGACATTATACAGCGCGTTCAATTCAAACCAGAGTGCTGAGTCGCCAGTTTCTTTAATACGTGTGTTGGCCACTTCTGGCCGGGCTCTGGGTGATTGCCCCCAGAGTGCAGAGTTGGCGGTTTCCTTATTACGCGTGTTGGCCACTTCTGGCCGGGCTCCGGATGATTGTCCCCGGTGTAATAAAATGTAGGGCCTTATTGTCTGGTGACCACGACAGGACTGTCATGGTCGCCAAGTAATTGTTCCAGTGACAAAACGTGTTCCGTTTGACTATATTTTATTGAATGTTTTGATATGAATATATTCTTAAAGCTAAGAGCTCGCGCTGCGCTGCCTATAAAAACATCAGCAGAGCGGCAGCAGCTGCTATGTCTATAAGAATATTTTATGCTCACACATAAGACGAGAGCGCGAGAGAGATCCATATGCACATGTTATATATGTGAGTTGTCAAGCTATGAGAAAATGCTGACACTTGCACTTCCCACGTAAGGGGCTCTGTGGCGCGTTTGGTCCGATCATATTTCTGTCGGCCAATTTGTGTTTACACAAAACACAGTAGCACAATGTTGGCATTGGTACAGTGTGTATTCGATACGATCGGCGGTTTCCCTATTCCCTGTGTTGGCCACCGGATGCGGCCCACAACTCGGCAGTT